CTAGAGTCACCTGAGGATGTGTGGGCAGGGATGCTCTGAGTGTGGTCCTGTACATGCTTTGGCTTTCCATGCTGATAACTGAGATGAAGATGAACCCATATGGACAGCTCAGAGTGAGCCAATTCTAGCTAACTTCAGCTTCTGCTGAGGATGAAAAGTCCAAAGAGCAGTTTGCCAAAACAGCTCCTGGTCAACAGTGCCAATGAGTTTCCTCAGAGGTCCATAGAAAATCTCAAAACAGGAATCCCAAAATTTAAACTTCATTAGGAGTAGTGCACCTAAGTCTTAAATTTCATAATTTAAAATCATACTTAATAGCAAAATTGCCTTTTGATATATAAAAACAATACTCTTAACTAGTGTCCCATAAGACACTCAACAGATGTTTTCAATCCTCTTTCCTCTTCCTAACATGTGTGCTTTCTCAGCCCCTCTGGACTGGTGCTAGACATGTGGTTAGTTCCAAGCTTTTCCATGAAGGTAGAAACAGCACCTCTCTATTCCAGGCCATGTTTTTTCTTTCCCTCCAGTGGTGAGTGTGGCAGTGGCACTGGCAAAAGATCTGGATGCTACTTCCACATGGAGAAGGGACCAGGACTCAATATGTTGTAACACAAACCAGGATTAGACTTTACAACTAGTGAGACCATTAGATATGACTTCTCATGATGGAGACATCTTCCTAAATGTTACAGTGGAGAGGAAGGAAGGTGTGGCCTGTTTCTTCTCTTGTGAGGCAAACATACATTCCACAAACAAGGGACTTTTGTTTATTGGTTTGGTTTTTGAAATAGGGTCTTCTTCAGTAGCCCAGCCTGGTCAGGAGTTTCAGATCTCCTCACTAAGTCTTAGGATGTTCCCCCTGCCCAGCAAGGCTATGCTATTATTTTACTGTTGGTTTGTTTGCAGCTTCTCTCTTGGTGAAGTTTCTCACATACTTCGAGATGTCATTGTCACAAGTTCACAGGATCAGAATTTCTGAGAGTCAAGATATAAACATCTTTGTTTCCTTTGATAGGGGGATGGGATAGTGCTTTCTGAAACCATTGTCCCATTTTTACAAATCCAGTGATATGACTGATACCTGGTTATTTCAAGGCTTCTTCAAAGGGCACATCAAATTCTACAGATTTATGGAGCACAATGTGAGATTTTAAAACACGTATACAATGTATGGTGTTCAAGCCATGGAGCTGACATGCCCGTCATCTCAACACTGATCAGTCCTTAGTTGGATCAGCATTTAACACATTTCAGCTCCTTTGACATTACGGACGTGGTAAGTTGAATCAGGCTTGTCACTAGGCACATGGTTCTTAGTGTCCTCTCACTTTAATCTACTCTTAAATCTTTGAGGCACTAACTACCCATAAAGACTGTTCATACTATTCATTAAGATAGTATTCACATATCTCTCTCACACATACACAGGAATAAGAATGTAATAAAACTTACAAATAAAAAGTTGGGAAGGGATAGCAGACTGCCTCAGTGGTTAAAGAAGCTTGCCACACAAGCCTGAGGACAGGAGTGTAATACCTAAAATGAAAAGATGGAAGGAGAAAACCAATGCCACAAAGTTGTCTTCTGACCTCCATACGCATCGTGGCATACAGGGCCACTTAATAATAAATAAAATAAAATTTAAAGCTTTAATAAAAGAAAATACTTTCCTTGTGCCATTTTCAGCTAGGATATTTCCTACATCATTTAATCTTATGAGTAGAAAATTTAAGAGGCATTTATTAGCAAGCAAAATAATTATACTTTATTGACAATTCAGAATTCACAGTACTTTCAGACATTTTCAAACTCTTTTACAAAGAAAAATAAATATAAGAAATGACACAAGTCCAATGAAACTTTACTTTCAATAAAGCTTACAAAATCATTCTTAAAAAAAAACAAAAATCTACAGCTTGAATTGTTCATGTCATGAATATGGATTTTCCTATGTGATCATCATCTGGTCCTATCTGGGGTAGGGTAGTTGAAATGGATTCAGATGTGAGTCCCTATGGGGTAACATGCATGGATGCACATAGGAACGAGCCAATTCTAACAGGAAATCAGAACAATTGGGTGATTTGTCATTTCACTTGTTAGGCAATAAATTCTAGACCTAGACATTTCCTAAGCGTATTTCTTTTATATCCTAGGTCAAAACCAATGAGATGCAGAAAGTCATGTGTGGCCGGTAACATGCAGCCATTTTATGATAAGAAAAATCCTGTTATCGGTGTTAGACAAATCCCTCACATTTTCTTAATTAAGGGAAGATAACCGAGCCAAGATGATCAAAACAAAAACTTTTCCAACGTTTTATAATTTTACATTATTGATGCTTTATAACAGTTTAATTGCTCAACAGTTAACATCTGTTGAACTATTCACGTTCTATAAACAACTGCATTTATTATCTCCATTGGCTCTGATATGTATCTTTTCCATCTTGATGGAAGAGAAAGGAGCTGCACACAAGGCCTAACACATGCTGCCAGTAACAGATGTGCTACATCTGTGGACACCAAAGGGAAACGGTGAACTACGTAAAACTTAGTTAGAAAGGGCATCGATATGCACTTAAGCTGACATTCTCTAGGACCACAAATACATATATACCAAATAAGATCAAACCCTGTTAGAAATTCACAAGTGCACTGCCACAAATGGCTCATAAACACTTTAAGTATACATCATCTAACAAGACTCAAAGCCAGCTTTGGTGACAGGTCAGAAAGAACAGAACAGGTAAGTACTGGAACACCTCAAACACAGCTTTGTTTACGTTAAGTGGCACAGCTAACCTGAAAATTTCCCAGCTCCTACTTCTTCAACTGTGGAGAAACGGGGCCACACAGAGGGAAAGAGCCTGTGTTAAGTCATGCGGGAACAGGGTTCTAACGAGCGGACTCAGACATGAATGCACTCCTTGGAAAGTCAGAAAACAGACGCGAGGCAAACGGCTGAGAGTCTGCCCATGGGAGGTAAATAACAGCTTTCTTCTCAAGGATTCACAGTGAAAATAGCACCCATACAACTGATCAGCTTTCAGGGAAAGTTCCCACTGTGACAGGAAGTAACAGCTGCGGTCATTTCAGCCACCATGGGATCCATCAAGGCAGCAAACATGAGTTCAACAAGTGTGCCTGCTTCCCCTTCCTCCAAGCACCCAAACAAAAGGAACTGCTGCTAGAATCAACATATCTTTTCCAAAAATCTTTAGAAATATGATTCTGTAAAACTAAATATCAGAGAAAAATGATCAAATGGTAAGTATGTCCTCAGGCACCTTTAAACAACTGTGTGTGTCTTTTATACTTTGCATGTGAACAGTGTTTCATACTACAAATTGAAACTATCTCCTCTTCTCTCAGCATGTCTTCCTTTCTGTATTGTGACTCCTCTTGTGTTGATAAATTTGGGGACTTCCATACGAACTGTTGATTCAGCAGTCTTACTACATAAGAAATCCTGGATGATAAGATGCTCACACCCTGTGTGCAGAACTTAAAAAGCCCTGCAGTGACCCACTAGTTAAAAACCTGCTGCACTTGAATTCCACAAGGAGCAGGTGAAGACACAAAAATAAAACTGAACATGAAAAGTAGAAATACAACGTGAACAAAGCTGACAAGAACCGCATGCTGCTTCCTTGGCAGGGAGTCTTTAACTCACCATATGCCACTGTACATTTTAAAATAGCTAATACATGTCTCACAGTCAAATTCCAATGAAATTACTTTCCTCACAACCCCATCCATGGCCTAAGACTGAAGACTTGAAGTAACGATTCAACATAAAATATCATCAAAAATTATTAGAAATAACATAAATGTTTTAAAGTTTTGGTTCTTATGAATGCATAGCAAAATAAAGCTTCTGATATACGTATAGGCTCACACCTGAAGATAAAACGACGTAAGCAAAGCTGCACCTGAATAAGTTAATATTTACATAAAAAAATAGAGAATTCCACAGACATCTTGGTAACATCTTCCAGCTACACATAGAGCCAATGGGCAAAGACGTCCAGGAGACGACCCCACTCAGTCCTTCAAACTCCCCTGTTCTCCTTTTCATCATCAGATGAGCTTGGTTGCTTTGGCTAGTTTGAAGATGGAGAGAAGGTGGCATCTCTCTGGAGGATGCCTGAAGTGCCCTGGTATATACTAGAGAGTTCTCTATTGTTTCACGTTCTCCTAAACATTCATTCGACAGTTCCTTTACTCTGCCCACTCAGATCAATGGAAGACTGCAGTAAGGAATGCTATGTATGTAGCTAGGAAGATCTGGAATTCTGTATTTTGTCAGGCATCTACAATGCCTACAAACCTAGGAGACAAGGGAGCATGTGACTAGAACACTACAGTTATCCAGCGGTCTCCTACTGTTTAAGGGGCCTCACCTCCTGTGACCTCCACCCTACAGCACATCCTGCGGCAAGCCAGTCTCCTATTTAAAGGCCTGTTAGCTTCTTTCCCCGTTTGAGGTCTATGAAGCCACTAGGCAGGTTTCTTGGATTTCCTTTCTGGCTTTTTATCATGTCACACACACTATTCAGAGATAAGACACACACTCCCAAAGGATGAAAATATAATTAAACTTTGCACTAAAATTAAGCTGAATGTGTTTTATTATTCTTGTTGACTGTGACATGAAAATTAATTTTGTTTCAATCTCTGCATTGGGTTCTCTTGACTCAAGGCTAAGTCCTCTCGACCAAGTCACCTAACATTTCTGGGACTCCATTTCCTACAATGGTAACCATCTGGCTAGTTTATGTCAGCTTAACACAATCTGGAGTCATTTTGGAAGATTCAATAAAGAAAATGTCTCTGCAAGACTAACCTGCAGGCAAGTCTGTGAGGGTATTTTCCAGACTGATGATTGATGTGGGAGGGCTATGCCCACTGTGGGTGGTATCACCCCTGGCCTGGTTGCCCTGGGTGCTATAAGAAAGCAGGCTGAATAAGCCATGAGAGGCAAACCAGTAAGCAGCACTCCTCTATGGCCTCTGTGCAGCTCCTGCCTAGAAGTTCCTGCCTTGAGTTCCTGAGCCCTGACTTCCCTTGATGATGGACTGTGACGTGGAACTGTAAACTGAAGTCCTCTCCTCCATAACTGCTTTTGGTTGTGGTGCTGCATCACAGCAAGAGAAACCCTAACCAAGACATAGCTAAGGGAGCAATATTCCAGAAACCTCAACGACCTTCTCACCTACGACAGAAACAGAAAGTCAGAACCTTGCTCAGTGCTTCCTGGTGACTATGAAGCTCTACTCTCTGTAATAGCTGAACAGTAAAGTGATTCTGGCTCTGGGAACTTTCTAATGCTTACATGGTGGTCAGTAGAAATCTACTATACCTCCAGGGCCTGCCAGCAGCATTGCCCATGGAATAAAAACACAATCAATGCATTTTTGTGCACACGTACACAGGTGGTGTACTTTGCTATTGTGGGATGCTTCAAAGAGGTTTTTAAAATTATGCTCCTATTTAATTTATACAATGTTGAAATCCTTTATCTTCTCAATAGTGGTAAGAAAAACAACTCTTAATCCAAGAGTTTCTTACAGAGACAAAGAATAATAGGCTATGCTTATTGTTTATGTTTTGAATTTTAAATTATTTCAATTTTCAAAGTTAATTTAAAATTTTCATTGTCATTAGATAAAAGCAATAACCTACCATAGTTTATCATAGCTGCAAAAGATGTTCAGATCACCATCAAATTACAATATTCTGCCAATAAAAACTACGTTTGGCACTGTGTTTAGTGTGTGGTGATGCGCTGTACTCATTCTTGATTGCTGTTGGAACTGGGGTGACAAGAGAGAGCTCATCGCTCTTCTCCCACTATTACAAACCACTCGCTACGCATGTAGAGTTCACATTTAGAGAGGGACTCTGGGAGGTGCCAGTGACAACCGCTGTAGTTGGATAAATAATTTCCTCAACAGTGACATATGTGCCCAGCAAGAAGCCCACGACTCCAGTGAACGCTATGGAAATGTTTTTCAGGATCATCCATATGTTGTAGTGGTCCTTAGAAAATGTAAGGATTTCCACAAGTGGGGGCAGGATCAGGGCTAGCGTGCTGCTGCTCACAGCCCCCACGAAGGAGATCACAATGTCTAGACGAGGAATGAGAACTGCCCCAGCACCTATAAACAAAAAATAAAAACACAGTTCCTGTTGACAAGTGTGCTACACACGCAGGGACTAAATGCAGATCTTCTTAACACAGTGACAGTGATTAGCAGAAGTCACCACTTGTGGGAAACTGATAGGATTTATTCTGAACTGAGGAAGAACAGACCAGAGTAACATTTCCTGGACTCATACTTATCAACATTTCTCATGTAAACAACTCCTAACATTTTGCTCAGAGATTGGAGCTTCTATTTAAAGCACTGAATTCCTCTGCCAGCCATACAGCAGAGTCTATGACACATGAAACAGGGTTATGCCATGAGTACACAGGAACACGGTGAGAGCAGCTCTTACAGCAGGATTCTAACCAACCACTCTTCAGGACACAATGTACCACAAAGCCATTATCAAGAGAACATACCACACTCACTGAGAGGGAGGAGTCAATGACAGATACAAAAAATCAGCGGGCAAAGCAGGATATGCCTTGTGGGGTGCAAGCTTCAATCCCAGACAGTGGGTTTCTGAGTCAGGAAGACCATAAGATTGAGGAAAGCCTGAGCTACATAGCAAGGTCCTGTCTCAAAAACCCAAGATCTGAGGATTACCTCTGTGTACGGGTGGCACACACAATGACCTAGGTTTGTTTCTAGTACCAAAACTTTTAAAATTGAATGAGACCTAGATATATGTATAGTCACAAATTACCTCACTGAGGTAACTGTGTCTTTACAGTAGGGAAACGCAGAGGCTACTTTATCCAAGTGAACAAAGCTGGTGTTCTGAGCTGGTACACTGAGCAGTGCCCAGCTCACTCGCGTGCAACTCTTGCCAAGTTTAACCCTAAGCCAGGAGGGCTGGTGCAAACCTATCATCTTGGAATGTGGGGAGGTAGGAGGACACTGAGTTTGAAGCTCCCCTGATCTGCAAACATAGCCACATTTCTAAATAATAACTGTTTGCAAAACACATAATTTAAATAGTTCCCATTTGAACACATGCAAGTCACCCATTGCTACAGATATGGACTGATACTTACAGGTGATACTAACCAAGAGGGACCGTATTCCAAATTCACAGATGTGCTTCCATCTGGCATGAAGTCTAGCAGTGACACTGGGGATAATGATCTCTGCCGGGACATAGAACTGGATTGAATAGGTCACAAAAATGCCAAAGGAATACAGAATTTTCACTAACTGATACAACCTGTTGAAAAAAAAAGAAATTCAACATTTAGTTTTTCTTAATGTGAATCTGACTTCACTCTTTTTAATTTTCAGAAGGTAAACAAGAGCTGTAGAACAGAAGCCACTTTAGAAACTTCCTAATAAAAGATGCTAGTCTGTGCAAAACCCAACCAAGCTAGGTGTTCTAGGATACAACTATAATGTTAGCTCTCGGGAAGCCAAGGCAGGAGGATTGCTGTAAGTTCCACATCAATCTGGGCTACATATGTCATAATTTCCAGACCAGGATGTGGCTACAGAATAAGAACCCTGTCTCAAGGAATTAAAACCGTGACTAACTTCATTTCTAGTCGTCATGCAAACAGAAGAGCCTGGTGAGGCTGAGCACAGAATTGGGGACATGGTGCCCAGACTGTGTCTAGGGCCAAGACAGTACACCATGCTTATTCTCAGCTCCATGTCTCTGAGGTCAAGATGCCCCAGCTAACGTATCTCAGCTTCTGTTAAACTGCCTGCTTGTGTAAACCTGCCCTCCAGCTAACCGCTTATCTTAGCCTCCATTAAACTGCTTGCTTACATAAAACCCCCCATGTAGATGCCAAGTGAAATACTAGGAGGATATGGTTTTTGCCTGTAAAAGTTCCTTGGTCTAAGTGCTCAGAGCTAAAGCTGGGTACCCAAATATGTGAGTGTAGGCCCAACCAGCTAGAATAAAGAATAAATTGGCTATAAACTGTGTCTAAGTGGTCCTCTCTGGAGGGTTCCCTGTAAATAGTAGTACTTCATGTAATGTATAAAATGTGTGACTGTCTTTAGATTTCTATTTTCGTGATGGGCCCCTGCCAAAACTCAACATGCACATTATTTTTTATGTTTTTTAATTAATTATTTATATGTTTTGTCTACATGTATATCTATGTACCATATGAATACCTGGTGCCTTTGGAGGCCAGAAGAGAGCATCAGATCCCCGGGGACTGGAATTATTAATGACTGTAAGCCATCATGTGGGTACCGGAAATTAAACCTTGTCTTCTGGAAGGGCAGCAAGTGCTCTGAGTGAGCAAGTGCTGAGCCATCTCTCCAGCCCCTCAGCATGCAGTTCTGAGTAAACATCTCAGCAAATTCCCTTTGTCTAGGGAAAGTGATATTCTCAGTGAAACGGAGAGAATGTGTGGACTCAGGCAAACTGGGTAAACAATAAGCCTACTCCTCTCATCGATAAATGATAAAATCAATATGTCGTATTCAGTACTTTTAACATTTTGTTTATTTTATATTTTTATATTTAAAATAATCAAAAAATTCGCTTGCATGTTTTAAGAAACAAACTAGAAGGAGGTTGGAATGCTGAGACTCTGGGACAGTGCTGAGACTCTGGGACAGTGCTGAGACTCTGGGACAGTGCTGAGACTCTGGGACAGTGCTGAGACTCTGGGGACAGTGCTGAGACTCTGGGGACAGTGCTGAGACTCTGGGGACGGTGCTGAGACTCTGGGGACAGTGCTGAGACTCTGGGGACAGTGCTGAGACTCTGGGACAGTGCTGAGACCCTGGGGCAGTGCTGAGACTCTGGGACAGTGCTGAGACTCTGGGACAGTGCTGAGACTCTGGGGTAGTTCTGTGACTGGGGCACTGCTGTGACTGGGGGGCAGAGACTCTGAGGCAGTTCTGTGACTCTGGGGCAGTTTTGAGACTCTGGGACAGTGCTAAGACTCAGGGGCAGTGCTGAGACGGAGGATGATACAGTTTGGGGCAGGAACTACCTACTGTGTTCTTCCCTGTGGAAATGACAAGGTCCACAGTCTCACCAAGAGCGGGATACATGTGGAAGAGTGACTCTCATTGGAGAGAATCCTATTATCCTAAAAGGATACAAAGGACTCTACTTTGAGCAAGCAATTAATTAGGGCTTACGCTAATTTCTAACATCTTAAGACTTTCAGCAGTAAGAGTACAAACAGGCCCCTAGTCTGTGACCAAGCAAGGATTCAGTGGGCTTTTGCCACAGCACATTCATCATAGGAATGAGTAGACAAAGTAAAAGTAGATCTGAAATGTGGCAACTGATGTAATTAGGACCAAGGAAAGTCCCCAGGCCTGGAAATAATAAATCTTAACTTAGAAATTACCCAACAATATGTTTAGCTAGAGCCTTAAAAATTAACTACAAATGGTTCTGGCTGAAAATATGCAAACTTACTAAGTGACAATTTGCTCAAATACTCTGATAAGCAATTGGAGAGAATTAAACATTCTCATTAATTCATTATTCATTTAAAAGAGGAACATCGCTTTTTTTTCTAATTATGCTTTATTGTGTTTTCAAAGTATGGCTAATAATATACTTTAAAATGAAAATAGGCCCACAACCACTTTGAATATAAATATAATTATACTCCACTGACATAAAGCTGGAGTTACACAGGCTAAAAAGTAGTTAATGCTAATACCATTCTATATGCAGTACTATTATTTAGTGTTATCTGGAGCATTGTTTCTTCACAGATATGTGCTAGAGAAGTGAGCACTACACAAACTGGTTTTTCAACCCTGGAAGAGTAATACAGAAATGACAGTATGTTTAAACAGGTCATATAAAAGCACCCGTTTCAATTTTACCTATTTTCTGTTTCAAAAGCCCATTTATTTCTACGGTTGGCATCTGTACTTCCAATAACACGTAACAGTTTTTCTCAGCTTTTCGACCTTTGTTCTCACTTCAGTTTTAAGTAACCACAGAGCTGTGCATTCTAAGTTATGCACAGAAGACATGAGGGCACACATGGCCCAGGGCCATCCTGCTCTCTCACTTTCCAGAACACTCTAACCTCTGAAAGGCAGCTCCACCTATACCTCTCAGCCAGGGATAGTATCAGGTCCACAACTGCAGACAGAGAAGCAGAGGGCAGGCTGCACCCAGCCACCCTGGGAAGAGGCTCAGATAGACCTCTCTAACGGAAACCTCTCTTTACTCTGACTTGTTCTCCTGCTCTTTGGGATGTCTACCGTATCCTGGGATAATTACTGGAGGCTTTTTTTTTTTCTAGCTGAAAAATCGGGTGACTTGCAAGGCTTTCTCGAGGCTAACCTATAATTGGATGGTCTTTAAGTCATAAGTCCCAACGTGCTCTATTCTAACTTTAGAACCACAGCAAGCAGGGGTCAGGGGTGAGGCAGTGCTATAGACTATGGAAGGGATACTTCAAGGAAAGGTCACACACCCAGGCTTGAACTGGGACTATATGAGCATGCCTTCACATGGTCCTACCCATCCTCCAGATCTTGGGTGGGAATAGGAGGGTATATTTCTCTGTATGCTTTCTCTTCAGTTTCTTTTGCAGTTAAGACTTTCCACAGACACCTCTGTGGATTAAGACTGTTCTTGTTTCTACCCATGTCTCATAATTGAAATTTTAAGCACCCCTCAAATACATTTTCAGTTTCTACCAATAAAGAAATCATAGTAAAAAGTTTAAATGCTTAAATCATAAATTTAAAAACATCTTACCCATCACATCTTGGTAAATTACATCTAAGACACATAAGAGCTAGGACTGATAAGTCATCTGCACCTACCACATGTCCTGGGGAAGATTCAGTGTTATACTGCCTTTGATGTCATCACGGAAACACATGTAGCCTAACGTGGCCAGGCTGATGTACAGCACGGTGACGATGGCCATACCAATGTTCAATGCCTGAGGGAAGCGTTTGGACTCTCTCATTTGGTTTTCCAGTGGCAGCACCTAAGAGGAGAAGAGCATTAGCTGCTTTTAAGGAGCAGGATATGGGAATTTCAGAATAACCAGGGTCTTGTTAGATAGACAAGTTGGTCCATCTCTTGCAGTCTGTGTGGAAAATCTTGTCTTCAATCCACATATACCAGTTTCCTATGTGATATGTAGACATATCTATGTACGTAGGCTTGTGTGTGTGGTTAATGTCAGTGTCTTCCTCTATTGCTTTCCTCCTTGGATTCCCCTTCCCCTTGGGTGTTCTTAGAGAGTGTCTCACAATGTAGCCCTGGCTAGCCTGGAACTACATAGACCAGCATGAACTCAAACTCACAACGATTTGCCTGCCTCTGCCTGCACATTCTAGGACTAAAGATGTGCCCCATCACACCAAGGTTCCAGCTGTTTTCTCACTGAGTCTGGAGCTTCCTGACTAGGCTAGACTGCATGCCTGTGAGTTCTAGGGATCTACCTGTGTCCACTTGCTAGCACTGGGACTCCATATGCACCTCTACCCTGCCTGTTATGTGGGTGGTGAGGTTACTCTTGTACTGCAGCTTCTGCCTGCCTCCTCAGACCCTGCTTCTGTAGATTTTATACTACTTTTTTTTTTTAATTCCTAAAAAGGTTTGAAAATCAGCTCTGAGGCAGTGGCCTGCTGGCTACTTCTTAAATATATTTGTAAATAAATATATATATACAATATATATATCATACATATATGTGTGTGTATATATACATATATACATATATATGTGTGTGTGTGTGTGCAATATATATATTGTAGTTGTCTTCAGACACACCAGAAGAGGGCAACAGATGCCATTACAGATGGTTGTGAGCCACCATGTGGTTGCTGGAAATTGAACTCAGGACCTCTGAAAGAGTAGTCAGTGCTCTTAACTGCTGAGCCATCTTACCAGCACCCCCCTTGCTGGTTATTTTTATACACTTTTTCTTGTTAGAATAATTTTATATTTGTTTTTTTTTAATGCAAAGAAAAACACAGATGGCTCCCACATGCCCTTGAAACAGCTTTTCCATGATTAACTTTTTATATTACCAGTTGTCACAACTGAGCCAATCACTAGTGACTGAACCCCAGATTCCATTTCAATTTCTCCAGTTTTTCAATGAGACCTTCTGTGCCAGGAGCCCATCCAGGACCCCAGCTGCATCTGTCACCCTGCTTCCTCAGGCTCCGAAGGTCTGCCTGGTCTCTCTCCTTCTTTGCTCATGGCCTTAACTTACTGCAGTCCTCTGCATAGCATCCTCTGCACAGTCTGGGCCTGCCTGCCTGCCTGCCTTCCTTCCTTGTGATAAGAGAGTGCTGTGGGTTCCAGAGGACACCACACCCGGAAGTGCTTTTCCTGTCACATGTCTCCATCATGACTGATGAGTGGTGTGGTTCAGTCCAGCCACTGCTGTAAAGTCACCTTCCCACCCCCTCATCATACTCTGGGTCTCTAACTCTAGCCCATTCTCCAAGACCTAAATGAGAATTACCTATACCTGCTGGAAGGAATAGGCTCTGCTAGGGATCTGCTGAGCAGTCATTAGTTCAACCATTTATGTCACTGTGGACATGGGAGGGAGGTTGCTATATACACCAAGTAGCAACCTGTCACTGTCACTCGGTCACTCATCCTGTTCCAGCTTTTGTAACTGTGAAATGACCAGGCATGTGTGCATCTCTCATGCTGCCACATTGTCCCTCCAAGCACTCCCTTCCTCTCTGGCCTACAAAGAGCCCCACACTCATCTTGGATTCCATGGTTTTGATTTTCATCAGACACTTTTCTCCACAAAACTTGGTTCTTTTCTTGGCGCACAGCATTTAGAATTAGGGTTTCCATGCTGAGGGTGCTATGTGAGGAGTATTGCTTCTAACCCTCAGGAGAGAGAGCATGTAAAAGCTCACATGCATATGAACACACATGCGTATGAATATACATGTCCATAACTGCTCTATATTACATGTGTGTGAGTGTGTGTGCATACCTGTGTATGTTGGGTGTGAATAAGAGTGTATATGTGTGTGTGTTTAGTGTAAATGTGTGTGTGTGTGTATGTGAGTTCAGTGTAAATGTGTATTGTGTGTGTGAGTTCAGTGTGAATGTGTGAGTGTGTATGTCTCTGTGTCTGTGTCTGTGTGTGTGTGTGTGCATGCGCAGTGTGAATGTGTCTGTGTGTGAGTGGGTGGCATGAAAATAGAAAGGGGACTACCAAAAAAGACCAAGAGCTCTTGGGAAGGTGACAGGAGATAGTAATGGAATGTGTGCCTGCCATGAAGGAGAAGGAGCTATGTGGTATAAGGAGGACCAGCCAAGGGGAAGAGGGGAGGACAGCAGGAGGCAAATAAGAACAAAGGAGATGACGTACACATATACCATGGGAAAGTGTGATTGGTGTCCTAACTAAAGCAAATTTTTTACATTAAAGTTCAAAAGGGGAAGAGGAGGTAGGATGGTGAGGCTGGTGTTGGAAGTGTAGGTAGGACTTGGCAGTTGCTGAATTGAGATGTCAGAGAATCAGTGTTTACCTAAATATCCAGTGATTAGGATCCTAAACAAGTAACAGACGTACATTAAAATCCAGCTCAAGAGGTTTGAGAATTTCTTGTAAGAACTCAGCCTGCAGACAGCCCACAAAGGGAGACGGGTCTGCCTTTGAGATTCATCCATTCGCATTCACAGGAAGACATTTAAAGTCATTTTGTTCTGATATCAAGCCATCCAACCATGAGACACTAGCCTTGAAGACAGTTGACATTAATATTCTAATTTCCCTATACATACAACTTCTAGGCCATAAGTACTGGGAGTATTTTGAGTAGAAATACTTGAGATGTTAGAGGCTCGGTTATATCTCTTGGCATTGGCATCTCTATAATGCTGTACCTCAAAACAAATATGATGTGCCCAACCTAAAGGGAGAATCATCTCCAATTTTCACCTGACAGCAACTTTACAATTCCTTCCATGGCCTTCAACTATTCTAGTTTATAAGATGTGATGTCTGGGCTGGCAGATGGACACACAGGCCTGATGACCTGAGGTTGGTCAGCAGAAAGGAAGGGCTGGGTATGGTGGCTCACATGCATAACCCCGCCCTCCTGGTGAGATGGGAAGTGGAGAAAGGAGGGTCACCTAGAAGCTCTCTGGTCCATCACCGTGCAGTATCTCAGAGCAGCAAAAATAAAACAGGTCTTGCCCCCGTGAGGTAAAAGGAGAGATCCAACTCCTGAAAGTCGTGCTCTGAATTCTTCAACCCACACCATATAGACCTCTTTAAACTGTGCTATTACAGGGCTCAGTGATCAAGAGCACTGGTTGCTCTTCCAGCGGACTTAGGGTTGATTCCCAGCACCCACATGGTGGCTCACGTCTACCTGTAACTCCAGTCCTAAGGTCTCAGCACCTTCTTCCGGCCTCCATGGGAACTAGGCATGCACTTGGTGCACAACCATACTTGCTGACAAAACACCCACATGCATAACAGAAATTTTTAAATTAAAAACAAATGTTCTATTTGGGCATGCTTGAATATGTGGGACACAGACAGAACAAAACTGTCCGTGAGTTGTGTTTCTGAGGTTATATGACACTTAACAAGAGTATGCTACCTTAAGGCTTTTATAGGCTCATACTTCCAATAATTATTCCCAAAAATGCTAAAAGTCTAGTCTAATGCCATCACTTTACCCACCAAGGAAAAGACTTAGACCCTACAAAACATGTCTAAGATTAAGTTACTGGTCAGTAGAAAAGCCAAACAATAGTTCAAGTCTACCTCACTGACTGTTAGGTCTCAAATCCAGGACAAGTCTCACTTGGTAGTACCTGTGGCTCCTCCCAGCTCTCCTCACCCCACCCTACCCTAAACCCCTCCCTCCCAGGGCTGGGCTTCAACTTCACTTCCCCCAGCCTGATCCTTATAGCTCAGCCATTCTGGCTACACTGGTCTCTTGGGCTCTTGGACAACAGCCTGTGTTGGTCAGTCAGAGGCTCCTCTCTTGCTCTCTCCTGTCTTCTCTCACGGTCTGGTTTAGTCTGCCGGCCATGCTCATCTGTGACTCTTCCCTCTGCCTATTTCCATCTATAATAAAAGTCTTCTCTGTGTCTCAGGAGTAGTCACAGACCCCACCTTTCATTTCATTTTGTCATTTGTCCACCAAACTGAGAATCGTGGTCCATGAGTACAAAAACGAAAACACGGAAAGAAAACACATATTTTTATATAGTTTGACTATATAAAATCTTGTGTTAAAGAGTTTAGAAACAAAGCAAGTAACAGAGAATTCTTACCACTCCTATGCCTTCAAAAGCAAACACAGCAGTGCCAAAAAACAGTGGGTATTTCTTCCAACCGGCCACTATTGGAAGGTTGTGGGGATCTGGCATGTTCTACAGAAGAGAGAAAAGAAGAAAAAATACACCAGGTTACAGCTTTATCTAATTCAAATTATTTAAAATTAAGTAGCAAACTCACACTCTCAAAAGCTTCACAAAGCAACCAGGTTATGACATTTAGTAAACACTCTATATATGCTATGTTAGGGGGGGTTAAGCTGTTAGGATATAGTTGCTGAAGGAACTGTTTCCCTGACAACCACACATTCCTTCTGCGAACTTATATCCACTGGCCAGTTGCAGGCAGCACATGAGGTACATCTCCTGCCATATAAGAAGTATACAGGCATGCTTAGAGACCCTAAGTCACCAGGCACTGCTGTGGTCTCCCTGTGTCCCTCCTCCTTCATTCTCCTAAGACACCTGGCTCCTGACTTCCTCCTTAGCTGTCCCTGGCACAGGTCTCTTGGGGTTTCAGTGTGTGCTCTGACACAGCATGCACAACCTATTCCTCAATGGGATGACCCCATTGTCATTCATTACTTGGCACCAATTCATAGTAATGCTTCCCTCTCCTGATCTAGACAAAATCACTACAGAACACCTGGCTCAAAACCACTGACCACAATGACCTTTCTTCCAGACACCCTAATTCTATCCTTCCTTGCCACCACCTTCTTCTCTGCCTTGCCTACTGAAGTAGAATTCAAGATCAAGGCTAGAAGACCTGCAGATGGAAGTGTGAAGGCACGTGGGTAGTCTGGGGACTGTGGAGGTTGGAAATGAAGATGATGTGTGACGGTGAAGCAAGAACCAGAGTGAGTTCTGCAATTGCTGAACTGCTCTCAAGTGCACAGATGCTGTCATGCCTTATGCTCTTCCCTCTCCTGGGGGAGCCACCTTTTCTGCTCCACCAAGTCTAACATGACCAGCTAAGAAGTGGTGAGCCTCAGAAAGGCTTGGGCAACCCTCTTTCCTCTAGGTTTGAGAGTCCAGAGAGCGTAAAACTGAAGCAGACCCAGCATGAGTGTATCTGAACTGCTAATGGAAATGTTATGACTATCTTAGAAGTAATATATTTAAGTGATTAGATCATGTGGAAATAAAACAGGGATCTTCAACTTTCTTGAGCTCACTTGTCTCTGCCTGATATAACTGGGTTAAGAGTCCTGAGACTTCAACGAGTGACCTCAGATCTCTACTGCAAGGTCTTCAAACAAAAAAAGAGTCACAAATGTGTGCCATGGCAGTGGAGGGCATGTGGCAGCAAGCACAAAACTTAGAGAATTATATACACACCCATCCTTGTGACTGATTCAAATCTCAAGAGCATAAGCCCAATAACTCAATGAGCTGAGTCACAGAGCTCTAACAGGGAAGGCGGATGTTTAGAAACAGTGATACAAACCCACAAACATCATCATCAGTGTTAAAACCAGACTCAACACCTTAGTGTCTACTTCATGCGCTAACGTTACACCCTGAAGGTGAATCAACACTTACTGCTTATGCATGTGGAACAGGTCTCTCCACAACACAACTCTCACCTCTGAAGAAGGCTTTACCCACATAACAACACAGGATGGTTACTCACAAGCACACTTACCCTAACAACATACTGGTAAATTATCACCAGACTGGCAGCCATGGAAATGTTGGCAAGGAATGAAAGAACGAAGAGATTCTTCAGCTCTCGAATGAACACTAAGAGAATTATAAGTGGGAGAAAGCAGAGCATGTAGACCCTGAGGTCCACACTTCTTCTTTCACAGGCATGAGACAGATCAGAGCTATTCGAAACAATCACTGTGCTCTCCAGGAGTCCTTCATGAACCTGCAGTACAGTTACCAGGAGAGGACAGAGAAAGAAAATTATCCATCAGTTTACAGTCATGAGAGAGACAAATCAAATAAAACCCATACCCTCCACAATCAAGCCCTGTGACACTGGTGACCAGTGAGGCCATCCCACAGTGTCTTACTGTGTGACAGCAGTAACCAGTGAGGTCATCCCACTGTGTCTTACTGTGACAGCAGTAACCAGTGAGGTCATCCCAGTGTCTTACTGTGACAGCAGTAACCAGTGAGGTCATTCCAGTGTCTTACTGTGACAGCAGTAACCAGTGAGGTCATCCCACAGTGTCTTACTGTGACAGCAGTAACCAGTGAAGTCATCCCACAGTGCTTACCTGTGACACTGGTGACCAGTGAGGTCATCCCTCAGTGTCTCACTGTGACACTGGTAACCAGTGAGGTCATCCTACAGTGCTTCTCTGTGATACTGGTAGTGGTGAGGAATGAGTTGTAACCAGTGTTTGCAGTAATGTACATAGCCACCAAATGGAAGGAAACTTCTTCCAAGAGTGACAACTCCCAATTCCACACTTCTGTGACTGCTGCCTGCCCTGCCCATGTGGGTGCTCACTGCTGCCTTGGGCTGTTCTTTAAAGTCTGACTGCATGTCTTTTTCCGTAGTTCCCTTTATGCTTCTAAAAGACTTTCATCCTCTAGCTATAAAAGACAATTTCTCTTTTCAACCACCCAGGGAGCAACTTTTTCTACCTCATCTTCTCATGACTTAAATTTCCATTAAACTCTGGAACAGATGATGTTTTATAAGAGAAGTCATTCAAAGCCTTTAATGTTTCCTCCCCCCACCCCCGAGAGAGAGAGAGAGAGAGAGAGAGAGAGAGAGAGAGAGAGAGAGAGAGATCTACCCAGTGATAAAACTGTTACCAGATCCAGGAGGTGGCTAACCAAGTGTGATGATACACACTTAGGAACCCAACACTTGGGAAACTGAGGCACTGAGATCCTCAATTCCAAGGCCGTACTCAACTGACAAACAACACAGTAGGGAACAAGGGAGCAATTGTGACCAAGGGCTCCATTCCAGGAAAATCTCCAGGCAGTTCAGGGGATGTCAATCATAGACACAAGGCTGAGCAGTAGAGAGCTTCCAGGATAATTGTAAAAGTTAATGCTGTGTCACAGTTTCTCAGCAAAACTGCAGGCACTATTCCTAGATTCAAAGAGGGTGTGTTGGCAACTCTCTTGGGAGAGTTAGGAAAGTCTCAGCAATGACCAGCCGTGGTGGTACACATCTGTGGGCCAGCACTTGGGAGGCAGTGCAGGAGATCAGGAGGCTCAAGGCCAGCCTGAGCTACACAGAAAAGTTCAAAATGAACATGAATTAGATGAGACCAACTCAGACAAGCAAGTCAACATGGTGGGGATGGGATGACTAGCTCCGTTACTGTCATGCTGCACGCGCCTAGACAGGCTGCTGCATCTTGTTCACGGGAATGCCTGCAAGATGCCATGTGATTTCAGAACCTTTTAAACACTGGCAACAATTACTGAACTTTAGGCATAAACACTTCTTTTAACCCCAGGATTTCCGCTGCTCCATACTATCTTAGGCCTCCTTTAAAGAACATCAACAACGTGAAGAATATCTAATACCTATGCACATACTGTTGAGATTTGAATTTGAAATAATCAAGAAACAATGAACCACTGTACCACAAACCAGCCCAAAGGCACAACCATGATTGATGTAATGTCAGGCATGATAATACCAACAACAATAGCATCAGAAACCCAACTTGTAAGAGAGAACATGAAAAATGACCACAAGTGAAACATCTTTATCCTCAACCATGGCATCACTCACTCTGTGATGAACAAAGCATCGGAAGAAAGCAATGTCACAAAGCAGAGACATACTCACCTGTTTCACATTTTCAGCCAAGAAGACAATATAGACGCTGCAGAATCCCAGCTGTGTTATCACCAGAAAGAAGTCAACCACGGTCCTGAAAACACAGACCCACAGGAAGCGTCACGGGAGCTCTGAGCAGGCAGCAGAGCTCATTTTTCTTAACTGTTTTAAAACACTTTATAATAGCATTTTCCTTTTACGTCCTGAGATAATGAACACTTAAACATTGGATTCCCATGAAGATCATATGTCACAGTCTAGACTAGAACAGTAAAGCATGCTTCATTCAGTTTAAAGGCAAAGGTTTTTACATCACTTCCTACTTGAACAATTCTGCTGTGTAAGAATGGCTGCTTATCAGTTTTACAGAAATATGTTCAGACTTGGGGTGTGGTGTGGCTCCTAGTGGAGGCTTTCACCAAGTGTGCCCAGAGATCTTCATTCAAGCCTTAGCGCTGAAGAAAGGTTCATGGTTTAAACTAAATCTACCCCTCCTACTTGACATGATCTTCCTCACGCTAGGCCAGTGTGTTTCTACCCAGCCAGCCTCTGGTCATTTGCACACATGGTAAGTACACTTACTACTTCCCAAATAATAAGGAAGTAAAATGCAAGAGTTGGAGACATGAATCAAACTTCTAGAGACTTCTTTGGTAAGTTTGTTTTTATTTTTTAGTGAGATGCACTGAAAAGGTCCAGAAAATAAAGCAGTTATGTAGAAGGAGGGAACAACTGTTGCCAGATATCTATGTGATGGCATCTGAACATGGCAGGCCCCAGGTACAACATCCTACATATTGGGCTTGGAACAAGGACAGAGCACACAGTCAGACTGCATGATTGATTGATGAATCCTGTCAACTGTCATCAACTCATAAAACAGCAAACTAGTAAATACTAGAACTAGAGTCTGTCCAACTGTAAAGACTACTTACTATGTTCCCACAACTATGTCATACTTTGAGTTATATCTGATTTGATGAAAATAGTTAAAAATAGAATTAACTTCGACACAAAGATGTTAGAAGGAAGGCCAGTGCTCACCGCCCCCATGCTGCCTGCCTCTGAAGGCAACTCCACGGGCTAGCCTCCATGGCAAAACTCACGGTGTCACTGTACCCCAATGTTGACTTCTTAAACCTGAAATTTAATGACAAATATACACAGAAAAGTATTAAATTGGTCTATAAGGCTATTTCACGAAAATAGCATCAAATAAATATAAATTTGTGAACCTAGGGATGCACATTAGTAGATTTGTTTTCAAAGTGTAAATATCAGTGTACTCGAGCATCACTCAAGAAATTTCAAAATATCACCGGCATACAAAGTTTTATCCACTGCTGAAGTTTTCTTATCTGAAGGTTTCAGACAAATTTGCATTAGTGCTTCATTGATTTAAAAATTTTAAGCATCTAAAAACACAAACTATACTGTTCTTCTGAAGGTTATTCCATCCTGACCACACAGAGTAACAGTGTGCCAGGCTCTGTTATACAGTTCCATATAAACTGTCTCGTATAATATTCAGAACATTTCCATGACGTCAGTCTCATGTCTCCATTCTCTATGCCATTTTCTTCTCTAGAGTACGCAGCATTACTTAAATAACATAAATGATATAAACAGTTTCAAGAACAGTTAATGAAGAGTTGGGTCCAGACCACTTATCCATTATAATCTGAAGTACTTCTAAAGGCTGATTTATTGTCCAGTAGAAGCATCTCGTGACAGAGAACTAAAAGGGGATATATTATTTCTATGACAGTTCGTCAGCCCATACATCAGGAACCATCACTGAAGATACTATACCCCAACTGACTTGCTGATGACCTGAAGAGCTGGCATTGTCATTCCGTGCACAGCTCCTTGGCCCCCTTTCCACCTTCCCATTCCTCTTCTACTAAATCAAAGAACCCACCATCCCCCTAGTAGTCTGTAGTCACGAGCCAGCATGATGACTCCGGAGCTAAAACACCTGTCACAAAAGCCTGACCGCCTGAGGTCAAGCCCAGAGGCTCCATGAAGTCGAGGAAAGTACTGATGCCACATAGTTATCCTCTCCCCTTCATGTGTGTACAGTGGCATACATGTGCCGACATACATGCATGATATACATATAGACAATGATAAAGATTATAAAGAAAAAAGAAACTACACTCATCCCTCCATACCCACAAATTCCTCATGTGTGGGCTAACCAATTGCATACGAAAAGTTTAAGAAAAAAAATATGTCAGTGTTGACTACATTACAAATATATTTTCCTCATTACTATCTGGTAAACAGTATAGAATAATAATGTTCCTGGCATTTATACTGAATGAAAGATGACTGTAGCATCTGAAAGGTTGTGCAGAGGTTTCACCATTTTATGTGAGGGGCTTGAACACCTGTAGGTATCCATGAGCATCCTGAACCAATTCTCTAGAAACACAAAGGGACAACTGGGACCAGATCCTGACTAACTTAAGTATAGAAAATGCTAACCTGTCCCATGGTCAATATCTTAGCTGTGCCTATGCAGTGGGAGGAAATACGATCTCTAGAGGCAAAGATACAGGAGACAACAATGCTGTAAGCAAACACAAAATTTTACAGTTAATCAGATAGACTTAATGAGTCCACATTTACCTCTGACATAGAAAGTGACTGCAACGTACCAATATGTGCATACAGTGGACGGAAATAATCCCTATAAACACAAGGCTGATTGGTCCAAGCTGTGGAGAAGAAAATATGAAGATTTAAACATTCATTTTTTAAAACAAAAGTGAACTTACAAGCAGTGAGTCAATGGACAATTTATTTACAATGAAAAGATTGTTTGATCCACTGATTAAATCATCACAGGTATGAAAACCATTAGTACATAAAAATTACTTCAGGTGATATTTTAGACATCAATGCTATCTTGTTGACTGTGCAACTGAAGCCTGTGCTACAGAGTACAGACACTCCGCAAAAAAAAAAAAAAACAAAAACAAAAAAAACAAAAAAAAAAAACAAAAAAAACCATCACATTCAGAACAGGACAAACCTATAGTGTCAGTGTCTCACGGGCATAATACACACTTACACCCCTATGTAAACAAAAAAAGGAAGAAAGGAAAGATAGAAGGAAGGAAGGAAGGAAGGAAGAAAGGAAGGAAGAAAGGTCATTACCCTTCTCTAGACTACTCTTAGAGAGCCTGAACGTGTGTGTAAGGAACAGCAGTTAGGAAATAATTGTTTCAAAAAGTGATTCATGAGAAGTTTCAAGTGTGTACTCCTCGCCAAACTCAGTGGTGCCTGGGTTACAGCAGGGTAACAGAACTAGGCAAAGCTTATCTAGACAACTGAAACTCTATACTACTCACAGACAGGACTGTTAAACACGGGGCGGGGGTGGGGGAAGCTACAATCTCTATGGAAACCAATGCATTTTAAACCAATTATGTCTAATTTACTCCCTCCATGAATCTGCCTCAACAAGGTTTTCAAATGCTGTAATTATAGTAGAGGTCTCTAACACCCTTTGATATTTGTCTTTAAAAGACACTGTTACTCATTTCAACTATTTTTCTTAGATATGAATGCTGCATACAAACTTATTCTGACTCTGAGATACTAAAAAAGTTACACCATAAAAATAATCCATTCCCTTAATACATTAGTCACTATGGGCTTATGGCTTAAGCCCCTGATATCAAAAGAGACAAACCCATCTTCAGAAAGTTTTGTTAGGTTTGAGAACTTGTTGTTGTTGTTAAATATTAAAATAAGTAATCACATAGAAATGAAAACAGTAAACATCACTCTGAGATAGGTACCATGATTACAGTTCACATAACTGTATCAGGACAATAGCCAATGGCCACCTACATGTCACCTGACCAGCTTATATTAGATGAGGCAATATGGTATCGAGAAGTCATTTTTGCAGACAAACAACTGTATCTGGGGCGGAGGGCACAGACAGCCTTACCACAATGCCCGCATTCTTTATTGCCAAAGGGAGCCCTAAAAGGCCAGTTCCAATGTTCCCCTTGAGAAGATGCATCAAGGTCTGCACGAATCTGGGAAGTGAAAATCATAAGTTACGATTTAAGCGTTCAACCTAGGGACCCACACACCAAAGAATGGTTCCCATCCCAGCAGCAGCAGCACCAAGTCAACCTAGGCTCCATCACCCTAGGGCCCATCGCCCTAGGGTCCAGTCCTATCTTCACTCGACAGAAACAAGCACAGAGATTTATTGTGGAAATCAAGTGAAATGTTTAGTGAAAGTGTTGTGCATGTGGAATAGCAATCTTCTCGTAGGATACTTTGCTGCTGTGGTATCAGAAATACTGAAGGTCTGACTGGTAAGATAAAACAACTTGTACTGTACTGTCTAATTACAGTTCTAAACATTTGATCTGTGATTGTCACCCTAAATGGGGATCATCAATGAAAACTATGTATACAGGTTTTAAAGCTATCCTCAGGTGAAATAACAATTTACATCATCAGAGCTCCCTCAGGACTTGACCTTGGAAGGTTCTACTTTGCTGGAGTTACTCTCCATGACCAAGAAGAAACGAACTAAAATTAAGAAGACTACAAAATTCAAACTTATGGAACAAGAATATCTTCCTAGAATTACTTGTTTTGTGGTTGTTTATTTTTTTATACTCTTGATCAAATTTCATGTGACTGTGTTTAGTCATCAATTACTATTAAGACAATGTAATGACTATAAGATAACAAATCAGGTTTTTCTAACATTCCCCCTGTAGCTTGTCTCCTCCTCAGACTGCACAAGCCATTCCCCACTCCCACAAGCTCCCTCCCGCTTCTGAGATCTTTCTCTGAGGGATACAGCATTTGATATCTATCAGTATTAAGGAAATCCCCATGATGTTCAATAGCCTAGTGTCCCTTTCTCACAGAAGGAGAGTCTGCATCGAGGAGTCTGACTCCTTAATCTTCTTAGTCATAAACCACTCAGACCTATGAGAGGCTGAGAAAGGCACGCTGTAATAACAGTCAAGGACCCATGACCCTTGACACTCACGAAATCCCATGCTGCCCATTGAGCTGGTAGTGCTTCTGCATAGGCAGGAGCGTCTGTTCCTGCTCCTCGTCGGACGATCCATCGAAATTCTGCTCGTTTATTAAGGGTCTCATCACGTCCATATCTACAAAACAGAATAAAACAGTCCTGCGCCACTGCTCGTAAAAGTGACATACGGCTATGACTTGTACCAGGCTAGAGAGATGGCTCACTGGATAAAACATCTAACACTCAGTTTAAGGACCTGAGTTCTGATCCCTGATACTCACAAAGAAGCTAGGAAGCCATGGCAGCTGCTTGTAACATTAGCACTTGGGAGGCAGAGACAGACAAGCTGACAGGCAGACAATACTAGTAAGATATCACAAACTGGATTCAGTGAAAGACCCTGTCTCAATGTATAAAGCAGAGAACAGCCTAGCAAGATATTCAAGTTCCACTTCAGGCCTACATACACACAGATGCAAGCATATATTCTCTCTGTGAACACGCGCGCACACACGCACGCACACACACACTGTATTTGTATTCACAGCAGCTGAGTATCTTAGCTCACCTTAGCCCCTGTGAGTCTTGATATTATCACAAAGAAACAATGAGACTTACTTTCTGGATGTTCTATCTGAATTATACAGTGCAGAGGGAGAAGCTTAAGTAATATAGAAAACAGTTCTTGTTTTACCCACATGAGCTTTATGGGCCAAGAAATGTGAAAAAATAATCAAATATATTTTCTATATCTAGCCAGCTTCAAATCATACTGTAACAGCTAAGTAATAATCACATTTTTAAGTACTTAAAATTACATCCATCTCAATGTTAAAATTTTAATATCAAAATGTCCTCTTCTTCCTAATGATATTTTCATGCAGCCGTTCACCACTGTCCTCTTACTATAATAAAAGTATCATTAAATCTGAGTTCATCAAAACTGCAATACAGAGATTTTAAAGTTAAACACATTCATCTCCCACTCACGGTACGCATGCCAGGGGGGTGAGTAACTATAGCTAGAAATGATCAACCTCGCTCTTCAAACTCTTCATTTTAGAATAATTTCAGGTTTAAATTTGCCAAAGGGAGAAAGACTAGTACTAACACTTGGTGCATTCTTTGCAGACTTTCTCTAACTTTCACCATTTGCTGCAACTGTTTGTTTTTTCCTCCCAAATGCAGACTCGCTTCCATGACCTCAGTCCACCCTATGGCAGTACCAGACTCAGGTCCATGAGTTACTGCAGAGCAAGCACATGACCTCAGTCTACCCTATGGCAGCACTCTTCCTAAGAACTAGAGAGGCCTCTTGAAATTCCACATTAGAGTTCTAACTTCTGAAGCTGTACCAATTAACTCCTCTGAACTGTTTCAGGACAGGCAGTCAAGGGCAGACTCCATTTACCTGGACTGTTCTGCTAATCACCTCTGTCACTGTGTCTTTTAGAATGTCCTTAGTCCTCCCTCTCCTTAGCTTTTTACTATCTAGACAGCTTTTAGATTTTTAAATCATGTGTTTATGTGTGTCTGACTGAAAGTCTGTGCAAGTATGAGTGCAGGTGTCTGCAGAGTCCAGAAGGAACCATGAGATCTCTTGGAACTAGAACTACAGGTAGTTGTAGGCCACCTGATGTGGGTACTAGGAACAAAACTCAGGTCCTTTGCAAGAACAGTGTGTATTCTCAGCAGCTGAAACATCTTTCCAAGCACCTGCTGTGACAATTTTGAGTGCTGTACAATCTCTGCCACCTGTATGCTACAGTTCAAACACAAAGTATCCATTGTTCATGTGTTTGAACACTTGGTCCCCAGTAGGAAGGCTGCGGATCTTTCCAAGTGGAGCCTAGCTAGAAGTGAGTCTCTAGGCAGGGCAGGCCTTGAGGGTCACAGTCCAGCCTTTCTGTCCTGTCTCTACTTCCTGATCCACTGAGACGTGAGCTAGCAGCTCTTTCATGCTAGCTCAGGGCCACCTCAGTCATGTCCCATCCACCATCATGATCCCCCTGCCATGATGGACTGTAGCAAAGACATAGGTTCCTGCAGTGCATTTTGTCACAGCAAGGAAGAAAATCAGGCACACTACACAGCCACGGCCTCCTTCCTTCTGCTGCTAGCCTGCATTCTGCTTTCACTTGTACTACTTTCTGTATACGTCCTTCTCACCACATCTCCGTTTGCACCTTAGGAGCTAGACCTATGGCCAACAGCAACATCCTGTTGTTCTCTGACAGTCTCCTCAGTCACTCAGTCATCCAGAAGTTTACACCAACTAGACTGTCTCAGCGAGGCCAGGTAGGGCTTGCTAACAAACTGACATGCTCCACCCCAAAGTTTCTGACCTGGTATGCCTGGGCTGCAGCTGGGAGTAAAGCCTTGTGACCCTGATGTGTTGTGGACTCACTCTGAGCACACAGTCCCAGCAGGTTCTTCAGGAAGGACTCACCACTACATTATTCTCCAAGGACTCAGTCTTCATTCAAAGTTTAGTATACAAAATACTGGCTTTTGTATATTCATGCATACTTGGTCTTTGTTGATTTCTGCTCCCCTACATTCCCCTACTTTCCCCCCAGTGCCACTTTCTTCCCCACACAAGCCTCTTCTCTGCTCCCATGCCCCCCTCTTGCATACCCGACACAATGAGGGTGTGAGGAGCCTCTCCGCTGCTTTGCCTAGCTCTCCTCTAGAAGCAATCTTTGACAAGGCTGCCCCTTAGTCCTCTACTACTAAAATTCCTTTCCTGCCTCCTGGCCCTGAACTGCTAACTTGAAGACTAGACCTCTCTCTTAGCACTTCAAGACGATCACATTGAAAGAGATCTCCCCCTTGACTCTTCCTCGTCTCCTACTTCCTACTCTTGACAGATCCTAATGCTGCTCCTGTCCACCCTCCATGCCATGCTCCTGTCCTCTCCGCGCCGTGCTCCTGTCCTCTCCATCCCGTGCTCCTGTCCTCTCCATGCTGTGCTCCTGTCCACTCCATGCCGTGCTCCTGTCCTCTCCATGCCATGCTCCCGTCCTCTCCACGCCGTGCTTGTGTCCTCTCCATGCTGTGCTCCTGTCCTCTCTGCGCCGTGCTCCTGTCCTCTCCATGCCGTGCCCCTGTCCTCTCCATGCTGTGCTCCTGTCCACCCTCGATGCTGTGCCCCATACACATTAGGATCAGGTATATGTATCTCATCTTAGCACAGATCCTGCTTCCTTTTGTTATGCCCCACCCAAAACAATACCATTGTTTCCCTACAAAACCATCACTGGAGTTTTACGAGGGTCACTGTAACATAAAAGGACTTAAGATAACAGAAATCCATCATCACAAAGATCCAGAAGCCTGAGATAGAGTGTTGGGGAAGCAGGTTCCTCCAGGGGCTGGGAAGGCTCTGGCCTCTGCCTCATCTCATATGTGGCCATTTTCATGTTCATGTTACATTCCCCCATAACTGACTCTGTGCCCAAGTCTGCCTCTCTGTAAGAACACAGCCACACTGCCTTCTACATCAGGTCCTATCTCCATGTAAAATCAGTTCCTGAGGTACTGCACAGGACCAACAGATGACTTCTGGGGAAGTTAGTGAGCCCACATCAGCCATCCCTATTCTTCTCATCAGCTTTGGTTTTATAAGCCAGTGCACCCTGCTGCCGTGGACCGTTGACATCATCCACTTTGATCAGCTTAGCTTGTCCAAACTACCAGTTACACCCACTTTCTCATCTCTGCCCTGTGCTATGCCATAGTGAGTTCACTATGTTCTCCATAAAGATAGCTATCACTACCAACACTTCAAAACCTTAACCATCTATAATTATCTGAAGCCCGCTGCCGGAGAGATCACAGCAGCCATGAAAAGTCAAGGAAAAGGTAAGTTCTCTCACAACTTTCAAAGTGTGTCGACTCTGAATGAGAAGTTTGCTTGTATTGGTAAAGGCAGTGAATATATCTTCAGTATTGTTTTAGATAAAACCTGAGACTGTAGTCTCCAAGTATTTGCTGTAAATAGCAGTTTTCCGATTTATGGTTGGCTTTTAAATCAGCATCACAATGCTCGCTTGACTCCCACATACAGGTCGGCTGGGCTCTCCCTCCTAATGGAGGTTGTTTAGCAACTGACTTTTCTGAGGTTCAAAAGTCATTCTCGATGTTATAGCAGTCTGTGAAACATGAGCCATAACTTACTGAAAAATCTTTTTCTGTATTTCTTTGCCTTCAATCAATTTTCTTAACCCTCAAATATCTTAATAAGTTAATTATTCCAGGACACTCTTCTAACCTTCTCATAAAAAGATTTAAAAGAATTCATTTGTAAAAGTTGAAGCTGAGAGAAAAGTACTTAACAAGTTAGGAACTCACAAGTCTACATTTATGTATTACTCTGACTCTGCCACAGAAGCAGAACTCAGCAGGATGATGCGCAAGTAGCTGATTCCTGCCCCTGTGCTTAAATGGTGTGTAAAAGCAGCTGAAAAGTCCCTGTGACTTCCCCTTGTTTCAGAGTTCATTACCTGGAGTGACATTCCACAATGTGTGTGTGTGTGTGTGTGTGTGTGTGTGTGTGTGTGTGTTTGTGTGTGTGTGTGTCTCTGTGTGTGTGTTTGTGTGTGTATGTGTGTATATATATATGTATGTATGTATGTACGTACGTGTGTGTGTATCCTTTAACTATATAGTTATGAGTTTATATAAATACATATATTTAACTATATATATTTTTTTTTTAAAAACTAAATTAAGAATAGTTAAAATAGGGTCAAGTTCTAGAACAATATTACCCTAAATGTCACAAAGTAACTCAAACCCAAAGAATTAAAAATACTCAAATGATAACACCTGGAAAGCTGTATCTAAGACGCTACAACTTGAAATGTTCATTGATATCCCACTTGAACGAGAACCTCTAAGAATGATATCTGCTATAAACAAACTCAGCCACTTATAACTCTCAGCAACTCCATGCATCACTAAGTATAATTTGTGCAATTGTATTTTGTTCTGAATTTCAGGATGTAGTATGTAAATACATGAATACGGTCTTGCGTTCGACCCTCTAGAAGACACAGTGGTGTCTTCTTACATTGACACCGTAGCACTAACTCTGGCTTTGGTCAGGAGACCGTACAGCACACGCCAGGCCTG